ACTGCAGGAACGACACCGAGAGGTCAGTATTACTGGTCACTGCAGGAACGACACCGAGAGGTCAGTATTACTGATCACTGCAGGAACGACGCCGAGAGGTCAGTAATACTGGTCACTGCAGGAACGACACTGAGAGGTCAGTATTATTGGTGACTGCAGGAATGACACGGAGAGGTCAGTATTACTGCATGAATGACACAGAGATCAGAGCAGGCCAGGTGCCTCAGAGCCCCCCATACTGCTGTTTACCTCCACGTGAGGGACGAGTGCAGGAGAGACGCCCACAGGTCCGAAGCCCATGCTGTTCTCCCAGATGCTGTGAGAGCCCACCTGTGGGGAGGCCTGTGGAGAAGAGGGAGAGCGAGGGTCAGAGGAGGAGGAGACACACCCCCACATAATCACTGCTGGGCCCAGAAACCTGTCAACTCACTCCTCAATGTTGCAGATACAGGAACGGGCTCAGTGACCACAGCCTGGACTCAGAAACGAATCTATGACTACAGACTGAGGTTCCCAACCGTTTTTAATCCTCTCACCTGAATGTGAAATTATTGAGGTGCTCTCTCCCCACGCACACATACAAATCACCGGCCTCCAGCACATTCAAATGTTATCAGAAAGAAAACAGATCTCAAGGCTCAATCACGCTGTGGGCTGACAGGCAGGGCTCTTGCCCACGTTTAACGATTTCGTTTCCTCTGGCTCCCAAACTGGAAGACCAGACCGCGCATGGCGAGGGACTCCTGGAGTCGGGCACTGTGCTTGCTCCACAAATCAAATGTCAAACATCATGTTAACTTGATGTTATTCACTTGTCCGTGTAGGCGGGCTGTGTGTAACCCTGCGACGTGTCCTCACTCCCCTGAGACCAGGAGACCATTCACGCCGCTCTCCCCCGAAATCTAAAGCGATCCTGTGTGAGTGCACTGCCTCACCTGCAGGGGCGCTGTGCCGCGCTGGTGCAGCTGGTAGCCGAGCAGAGACGAGGGGGGGCCGGCAGAGGGTCCCCCCGGCCCCCCGATGACTCCGGACACCCCCGCGACCCCGGGGTCGGTCTCCATGATGAGGCGGGACAGGCTCTCAGCCAGCGCGGAGCCATCGCCACTGCCCTCCTCCCCCAGCCCGGGGGCAGAGAGAGAGGGGGGGGCGGGGGCGGCTGCCAAGGCAGAGGGGGCAGGAAGGGGAGTGTTGGGGGCAGCTTCAGAGCTCACCCTCCCACTCCCGTCTCCTCGCACCCGCTCATCGAGCCCCGCCAGCCGGGCGTGTTCTTCCTGCCAGTCATCATCTAGACAGGGAGAGAGGGGTTAATACAGTACAGTAATACTTAACACTACAGACACACTGACTGGACACTCCAGTACATTAACACTGCACTGAGAGAGG